TCTAAATGTTTTACCACATGATATATTAATTGGTCTCGTCATGATATGGCTGACATATTGCCGATGTGACGTTGAATATTATCTATCAGTGCGGAATATACCGCCCACATTATTGCACTGCCGCCGTTAGACTTGTCGACTTCCTGTTATCAGTTAGCGCCAAATATCACGCACACATACACACGGGCACTCGGTCGCTAAATTAATAAACACAATTTAACATTAACATTGTTTGCCTCAGTGGCTGATGTGCATCAAAACTTCAGGGCAACTTCAGGGAGACTGACTGACTGACTGAGTATGGTTTTACGCCGCTTTTAGCAATATTCCAGCAATATCACGGCGGGGGACACAAGAAATGGGCTTCACACATTGTACCCATGTCGGGAATCGAACCCAGGTCTTCGGCGTGACGAGCGAACGCTTTAACCACTAGGCTACCCGACTGCCCCACTTCAGGGAGAAGTGATATACGTTTAAGAAAAGCGCAAGTCATTGCGTGTATTGATTATTTTATTGTTCACGACTAAACATTCATAAACAATCCCTACATTTCAAAACACGAGCTAACATCAAGATTGCTTTGTCTCCATGGCTGGAAACTTAACAGAATGTCATGTCAGCCTCAGATCTGTAGGGAGATGAATATGTTCTATGTTCATGTCTCAGGGGGATCGGTGTTGACTCAAGATAAGGTATTAATTGAAAAGACACATTCATGGATAGCGACAGTGAAATTTGGAGATTGATATATGTGCAGTGGTAAAGAAGTGGGTCGCCCCTTATCGTCCCTTGTTTGTTAGATTCGAATATCTTACGCATTAGCACAACGTGAGAATTTCTTTGTCCGACGATCTCTATCCCTCGTTCTCCTGCTATCTTCTCAGTTTGACTTATGCTACAACCCCTATACTTAATAAACTGCAAATGTAAAAAACACGTTCAAGGCATGTGTATTGTGAACTGAAGTTTTAAATTTACACTGCAAATACAAAACCGTAGTTTGTTTCCGTACATGATCATTTGAAGATTTAACGACAGGATATTCATGAAAACTGATTAAATGGTGCGCGTCAAACAAGCGTCGTTATTTTCAAGATTGACGAATTTGTTTTACTATGTTTGCCCCGCCCAAGCATAAAGGAACGTCCAAACACACGACGACGTGTCGCACGTAATACAACCAAACTGTTAGATTTCAGATCACACGTTGCTTGGGTGGCTGCAACGTCTACTAGTAAACCCAAATAATTCTTGATGGCATAAGTAAACAAACAGACTATCCGCAAGCAAACGCAATGGATCAACAAAAGGAAGACCAGGCTTGGGCCTATCTCAACCCCAGCAATTAGATCCAAATAATTTAAAACGCTTCTTTCGTTGTCTGTTAACTCACAATTTTACAGGGGCGGTCGGGTAGCCTAGTGGTTGAAATCGTTCGATCGTCACGCCGAAGACCCAGGTTCGATTCCCGACATGGGTACAATGTGTGAAGCCCATTTCTGGTGTCCCCCGCCCTGATATTGCTGGAATATTGCTAAAAGCGGCGTAAAACCATACTCACTCACTCACTCACTCACAATTTTACAAGGTCTTTTAATCCAGTAATTGGTGACGAATCCAATCACACGCACATACATTCACATATGCATGCGCTTTTTACAAAGATAATTCACACACAAAAAGTGGAACACAGGCACACACAGACACAGATACACGTGCATATACACATAGACACAGACACGCGTGCCTATACACACAGCCGCATACATAGACACAGAAAATGACCCAGACAACCGCAAACATACACATACATAACACAGACACACACATGATCACACAGACATACACAGAAACACACACACACACACACACACACACACACACACACACACACACACACACACACACACACACACACACACACACACACACACACACACACACACACACACACACACACACAAAGAGGGCACAGGGAGACACTCACATGCAAACACAGAGATTAACACACAGAGATACAGACGCACATGCATATTGGCACAGATACGTTGACACACAGATACAGACATATACATACACACACAAAAAACACATACAGACACATACATACACACACAAAAACACACACAGACACAGACGGAGACACAGAGACACGAAAAAGGACACACAAACACACAGACATACGCTTCCTACACACAAACGGCACATACAGACACACGAATTGGGACACAGACACAAACAGGCACATTGAGACAAGCAGTGGGACACACAAACACACAGACATACGCCTCCTACACACAAACGGCACATACAGACACACGAATAGGGACACAGACACAAACAGGCACATTGAGACAAGCAGTGGGACACACAAACACACAGACGTACGCCTCCTACACACAAACGGCACATACAGACACACGAATAGGGACACAGACACAAACAGGCACATTGAGACAAGCAGTGGGACACACATACACATAGACATCCGCTTCCTACACACAAACGGCACATACAGACACACGAATAGGGACACAGACACAAACAGGCACATTGAGACAAGCAGTGGGACACACATACACATAGACATACGCCTCCTACACACAAACGGCACATACAGACACACGAATAGGGACACAGACACAAACAGACACATTGAGACAAGCAGTGGGACACACAAACACACAGACATCCGCTTCCTACACACACACGGCACATACAGACACACGAATAGGGACACAGACACAAACAGGCACATTGAGACAAGCAGTGGGACACACATACACATAGACATGCGATTCCTACACACACACGGCACATACAGACACACGAATAGGGACACAGACACAAACAGGCACATTGAGACAAGCAGTGGGACACACATACACATAGACATGCGATTCCTACAGACATGAGGCAACACAGAGACACGAATAGGGACACAGACACAAACAGGCACATTGAGACAAGCAGTGGGACACACATACACACAGACATGCGATTCCTACACACAAACGGCACATACAGACACACGAATAGGGACACAGACACAAACAGGCACATTGAGACAAGCAGTGGGACACACATACACACAGACATACGCCTCCTACACACAAACGGCACATACAGACACACGAATAGGGACACAGACACATTGAGACAAGCAGTGGGACACACATACACACAGACATACGCCTCCTACACACAAACGGCACATACAGACACACGAATAGGGACACAGACACAAACAGGCACATTGAGACAAGCAGTGGGACACACATACACATAGACATACGCCTCCTACACACAAACGGCACATACAGACACACGAATAGGGACACAGACACAAACAGACACATTGAGACAAGCAGTGGGACACACATACACACAGACATACGCCTCCTACACACAAACGGCACATACAGACACACGAATAGGGACACAGACACAAACAGACACATTGAGACAAGCAGTGGGACACACATACACATAGACATGCGATTCCTACACACAAACGGCACATACAGACACACGAATAGGGACACAGACACAAACAGACACATTGAGACAAGCAGTGGGACACACATACACATAGACATACGCCTCCTACACACAAACGGCACATACAGACACACGAATAGGGACACAGACACAAACAGGCACATTGAGACAAGCAGTGGGACACACATACACATAGACATGCGATTCCTACACACATGAGGCAACAAAGAGACACACACGCACACAGAAGCACAGAGAGCCACACAGAAACACACACGCACACACACAGAGAAGCACATACATACACACAGAGCCACTGACGCACATGCACGTGCACACAGACACACAGACATACGATTCCTACAGACATGAGGCAACACAGAGACACACACGCACACAGAAGCACAGAGAGCCACACAGAAACACACACGCACACACACAGAGAAGCACATACATACACACAGAGCCACTGACGCACATGCACGTGCACACAGACACATAGACATACGATTCCTACAGACATGAGGCAACAAAGAGACACACACGCACACAGAAGCACAGAGAGCCACACAGAAACACACACGCACACACACAGAGAAGCACATACATACACACAGAGCCACTGACGCACATGCATATTCACATAGACACATACATTGAACTGAACTGAAGGAACTTTTTGAAAATGAGAGACATCTACAGACATTAACAAGCAATATTGTTTTCATTTTTATTACAATAAATGGTGTTTTGTATGGGAAAGTTTGATTATGAATACACCAGACAAAACCAATGTCTCCTATTGACCTACACTATTGGTGAAAACAGAAAAATGGCCACCACAATTAGTGTAAACGATCGTGTCAAAGTTGGCGACGAAAGAAGACGACGAATCCGCCCTACTTTCCAGCCACTTGAAATGAGTAAGTGCGAACATTATCTGAATGAATAAATGAGGAAGGTAGGACGGACTAAACTCACTTTTGTCCCCGAGACGGTTTCGTTAGCTCCTAGCTTCGTTTTGAACATCGTGTAAGGTTCGACTTTGATCTAGGATGTGTATTTGATTGTCATGTGACCCGCCAGAGCCGAGGATGTAAATGACAGACCCCGATTACAACAATCTGTGTGTAAGCCAACATACGATACCTTGCAAGCAATGTATGGTGAAATGTTAGTTGAAGCCATACCCAAAATGAATATGAGATAATGTGCGGCTTTCTTTTCTTTAAAACAAATTTCAAGATACATACTTAGTTAAAATTTGAAGATAATCGTTTTGTAATTTTAAGATAATAACTTGAAATTTCAACTCAGTATCTTGAAATTTCATTTAAAAAAATATTTTAAACGAAAGGCCCTGAAAGGTTTCCGTAGTAAACGTGTAGTACTGCCGGGAAAGGAAAACATATCAGCATGTAGGTTGTTCATCGAACAAATAACTCAGAAAGATTTCTATAAATACTGATCACATTAAGAGGTGAGGTTATACTTACGTATCCCTTACGTATCCCTGGGTTGACTACTGCTCTGTGACACTCTTACCTGTCCTTTAATCAGTTTTCATGAATATCCTGTCGTTATATCTTCAAATGACCCTGAACATAACACGTGAAAAGATAAGGTATTTAGGGTACGTGTTTACTGAGAATGAGAGCTTGGCTTGTGTGTTGTGACGATGACATTTCTGTAGCTTTGAGTGAGTGAGTGAATGATGGTACGCTGCCTAAAGCTCCTCGCATTAAGGGCGAAAACAAGGACTGGTCGGCCTTCAGTGAGAGCGGTGGAAGGACGTCACCAATGGCCTGGTTTCCGAGTAGGCCGGGGGAGGAAATATTCTGGGGGGAGATTTTATTTCGTAGGGTGGGGGAGAGTTTATTTCGAGACGGGCGGAACTGTACCGGTATAAATTCGCCGGGGGGAGATTTTATTCTGGGGGCGAATATATTTCGTGACACCGGCAATATGAAACCGGCATAAGTCCAAACTAGTACAAGCAGTCATATACACGTGCATGCACGTTGCGGAGCGGTCGGGTAGCCTAGTGGTTAAAGCGTTCGCTCGTCACGCCGACGACCCGTGTTCGATTCCCGACATGGGTACAATGTGTGAAGCCCCTTTCTGGTGTCCCCCGCTGGAATATTGCTAAAAGCGGCGTAAAACCATACTCACTCACTCACACAAGCACGTCACAAGTAATATAATCTTGAACGCGACGTTAAGTGCTATTTCTCTTCATCGCCCCTCACCTTAGAACTCACCACAGTCTCATTAAAATCAGACCTTTTGAACAAATCCAAAAAGAAGTTAATATTCACCACAATAGTCTCTAATTTGGGGGACTTGTGCTACACAGAGGCTTTGCTCAACATCCTTGTGCCTACTTCACGTATAGGGTCTGAAGTCCCCGAGTTTCGTCATAATCTCAGTAGCATTTATCTATGCTAAGTGAATAGAAATATTTGGGCAAAGATATTCAACTGCCCACCACTGGGTTACATATTTCTTAAAGGGTTTTTATACCATATGCATATATTTGCAGCGCTACACCATTATTATCAAGGTCAAATGATCAGTGTGCTCTCGAATGCCATTCACAGTTCCCTGGGGGAGAACACAAGCCAGACTGGCAATGAGGAACTACCTGGATTAACAGTCACATTACAAGTTCATCCTACAGAGTACCAGTTCAGTTTGGGTGTGCTTGCCGTAAAAGGCGACTATGCTAGTCGTAAAAGGCGACTAACGGGATCGGGTGGTCAGGCTCGCTGGTTGAAGCATGTGATCGTATCCCAGTTGCGTGGATCGATGCTCATGATATCAATATATTCCTGGACTGTCTGGTCCAGACTCGATTATTTACAGACCTCCGTCATATAGCTGGAATTAATTGATGAGTTCGGCGTTAAATAACAAACCAACCAACCAGTTCTAGGTGAACATAGGCATATTTCGAAGAAAGTTACTTGCCTGTGGCGACATCACATGTCACATGTGTTTTCGTGTGGAGCAGAAAGGAAGGTGAGGTGAAATGGGGTTAAACGTCGCGTCCAAGATTATTGCCCTTATATAGCGACGTGCATGTATGTGTGTGTGTTTGTGTGGCTGCTTGTACTAGTCCGGACTGATGCCGATTTATAGTGCTAGCTCACTGATATACCATGCCGCAGTTAAACATGAATACCCCACTCAGACACAGAATACTGACTCCGAGCCGACCAGTCCTTGTTTTAGCCCCTTAATGCCGAGCGCCAGACAGGGTAACAACAAGTACCATCTTTTAACGTCTTTTGGTATGACGCGGCCGGGTATCGAATCCCGTACAGCCGCTCTCCGGGCGGACGCTCTACCACTAGACCACGGAGGCGGTCGACACCCATGACAATGAAATTCATACTAGGATATGACTAGACAGTCTCTAGACGGTAATATCATAGAAAATGTGTGGGAAGTCGGGACATAAGGCTGCAGAGACAACTACATGAAATCAAAACCAACCAGGACCTCACAGACAAGGGTATGAACATCTGGACTTCATTAACTCAGCAGTACATAGAATCAGTATATGCCAGCTTACCAAGGAGAATGAGATATGTACTTTGGCAAATGGCTGCATTTCAAAATACAATTAACTACGGTTATAACGAACCCAAAGGGACTTCTGATGTTAGATCGTTATAACCGTAGTTCGTGTTAAGCATATATACAGCAAAACCACAGCAAATAGTCGGGACCAAAAAACTAAGTTCGTTCTATCCGTCGGTTCGTCATAAGCGTGTTCGTTATAACCGTAGTTTACTGTGGTAGTTAACTTCAATTTCATGTAATGTAAGTTTGTTTCTCTGCGCTTACAATCGATGCAGATGAAACGGCGGCCATTTTGTGAAAATTAATATGCCACTTGAGTGTATATTCTTACCCAGAACTCAACGGGTGCCGCGTTTGATTGAATGTTATCGAGTCCCAATTTGCGCGCATCGATGTTCACGATTTCCAACACAGGAGAAGCTCACAGGTAATGGTGCTCCTGGAACAGACTTGATGATATACGATGCAACCGTGTGTAATACTGTGAGGAACATTCTCGCGATCTCGACCTTTGGAAACGAGATAAATGTGCCCAAAGTGCGAGAATGCGAGAAAACGATATTTGGCCAAAATCTCGTGTGCATGCGATCTCGCAATCTCGTTGTTTTTTTACATAACACTTGTGAGAAGCCCGAGATGTCACGAGAGGTCAAATTTCAAAGTTGTGAATGGTCCATTCAATGATGGCTCAACAGAATTACAATCAAAATTTCCAATTCTGTCTCTCTGTTTTGTGTACTTGTAATCACGTAAGACTTCTAAGTTAACCATGAGCGATAAATGAACAACCATTAATCACAAAAGGAAATTATTCCAACATAGGCAAATATTCAATAATCTGTCATAGGACACTTACTGGTACATATTCACACTCCCTCAACTGTTTCACTCTTAGTGATAACAGACGTGAATACTTCTTCCTCTGAAGCATTACTTCAGCAAATTGTCTAGTTTTACACTGCAAACACGAAAACGTCGTTTTTTTCCGTATATGGTCATTGGACGGAAAAACGACTAAAAATTCATTAAAATTGATTAATTGGTCAGCGTCTAGAAAGTGTCCAGAAAAGGGTCGAGTTTTTCAAGCGTAAAATGGACGGAAAAACGATGCTTTTTGCTCCGCCTTGTACAACTGTTAACGGCCAATCAGATGGCGCTGGTCCCCCGACGCACGTGATGTCCAAGGCTTCCTTTCGGAAGCTTTAGGTTTCGTATTTCTGGCATGCCTTGCTCTAGTATCTCTCGGGCGCAGTGCAGCGAGATTTGCTGATAAGCTAGTTTTAGGATATGTTACATGTTAATGGAATTCAGGCACGCGCCAAGAAGTCAAACCAAACAATGTTACTAAGTTTATTGTGGTAACGGCTATGTACAGTTACCCCTATCGGATAATGGGTTGTGTTTCATTTGGTTATAACAAGAACTATTTTTTTAATGTGAAGTTTACAAGATATACGACTTGGACGCGAGGTCGGTCTCATGACGTTCTTCACGTGACTGTATTCTTGAAAAGGCGTAAACACTGACTACTTCCACATTCCTGGGGAAAACCCTTGGAATTCCCTGGTAAGAATTCATACAAAAGCGTGGTTGCAAGCCCATTTAAGGATACCCTCGCTACAACCCATCCCAGAGAGAAAAAAACACGAAAAAAAATCCAAACTGTCGCAGTGACAATTTACAGAAATCAATGAATTTACCTTAGTATCTATTTGACACATCTTCACAATCACCTTTCAATGATCGGCCAATTGATCAGTGATGCCAAAGGCTTGAAATAGCCACAGGTTAATTAACAACTTCGAAAATATCTCCCGTCACGTTTATCGTGTCGGCCATTTTGACGTATTGTACTTGATGTAAATGTATTACGACGCTCTGTCATTGTAATTGACTTACTAAGGTAATTCTGTAAAAGATCTTCTCATCTAATGAGAATATTGTTTGGAATATATTTCTTGTAAACATACTAAAACATATGTTCCTCGCTTTGGGGGGAACTATTTTATTCCGGGGTGGCCCATTAAATCTAGTAGTAAGTCAAGGCACCATGCGTGATCTGTTATTTTATGTGTTTAAATTACGATTTGGGGCGTTAATAAAATACACTGACGCAAGTATATTCTATTCAAATCAATTGGCTAATTGAATATGCTTTCTTTTACATATTACATAACATCACTGCACAAAATATGAACAGTTGCAGTAACACACTACGGTAATCGCATTAAACATCATTTTCAACTGTACAGTATATCAGTATTTCAGTTATATCATGGTGTATCAGACTGATGTGGGATAAAAATCCGAAGTGGTTCAGGTCATACAATTGGTGTTCGGGAAAAGGTGAGCATATCCTGCCACACAAGTGGCACCCGTCACAAACACATGCAAGGACAACCTGAACAAAGCACGGAAACACACAATGATGCCCGTCCTCAGTTTTACCGAGCATGTAAATTATTTTGTCCGTCAAAAACAAACAATATGTTCATTCACGTAATACATGTCATACATTTGACAAAATGTATTGACTCGGAGCATTATTGTTAATCACAGCGTATGCAGTTGAACTCATCACCCATCCCATTATTGATAACCCTTCTTGAAGATCTATGAAATCAGAAGCTGCAACACTCTATCTTTTAACTGGCATGTCAGACTTCTATTTCATTACTCAGTTTTATTTGCGCGGATTACTATGGAAGGGACATTGTCTCGTTGTCGCATTGTCGCATTGACGCCTTTACAAAAACAAGCAAAACGTGTCAAAATTAACAAAAGCGCGACAATTGGCCATTTGTCGCATTGTCGCGTGTTCGCATTGTCGCTCTTTGATAATCCTTTTCTTTATTTTACAAAAGGGCGACGATGCCGTAACGCGATATTTTCAAGGTCAAAATATGTCTCGTTGTCGCATTGTCGCCCCATCACAAATGTGTATAAAAGGCGTAGAGTTCAGTTATTGTTACAGTTAGGAAGTTCAACCTGATAAATGTACGTCTTGAAATGAAAACACAAGTCCGTCCGCGAGTCCATAACGTTTTATTGTGAGCTCTTCTCTAAAAGTGCTTAGTGTTCAACTCCCTGTTCCAAACACGTAGTACCTCCTCAATAATCCACATACCTCCAGTGCAGTGGTCTTCCGGAAGATCTTACTCTTGACCGTTTTAGACAACTGACGAGGGCA